TCAGATGACGTACTACAAAATGTTTTCTCTTAAGATCAATCATTTTTCAATTACCAGAAAATGGTTATTCACCACAACTTTAGGGAGTTCAATCTTTATGCTAACGTTCGTCCTTGTCGATCTCTTGAGGGTCACAAAACCCTTTATGACAATGTTGACGTGGTAACCATTCGCGAGAACACGGAAGGAGAGTATTCTGGAATTGAACACGAGGTTTGTCTTCCAAGAATTATTTGCTGTATTCTGCTGTAATGTTTCTCGACCATGCAAACTGTGAAGAGGCTTCATGTGATTTCATCAATTCATTTGATTTATTTGTTTGTACTTTTCGTACTTGTGAAGCTGCGAGCTGGTTCTGACGTTGAAATCGAATAATTATAATCACTACTTTTTTGAAAGAACTCTAAGTTACCCATAAACTCCTGAACTCAAGTGGGATTCCAGGTTGCACTCTCGTTTTCCAAGCGAGTGCACTATCCTTTATCCATCAGGGTCGCTCCTAGAGTGCGTTCATATTTTGCGTCAGCACTTTGAGCGTTTCGAGCGTACGGCAGCATTTTGAGCGTTTCGTGAGCAGTCGCTGAAATAACTGGAGTACGCTCAAAATGCCAGATCGATATGTATACTTTCTAGTCGCGATGTCTAGTCGCTCGAAACGCTGCCGTACTCTCAAAACCATCGCAAAGTATGAAAGCAGCCTACCCTCTCAGCCGAGTGGCTTTTAACGTGATGAGGTGGTTGGGCGATATCGGCTGTGACCCGCGTGGCTGGGATCCCTACATGTTTTCGAAGTTGTTTTGTTATGGTAACTGCTGTACAACGCCGCAGTTCCCACCGTGAAAGTTATCGCGAGTGATGTTATTTGTCTTGACCCAAGGCAAACCGCACTTCACGCTTGGGCGAGTGCGCTGTTCGTTATTTTTGTTGATATTACTTGAAAAGGGTTCTTATCAGTTCTTCTGGCGGCTTTGTGTTTGCTATCTCATCTTTATTGCAGATTGTTCCTGGCGTTGTTCAGTCAATCAAACTGATCACTGAAGATGCGTCTCGTCGCGTCGCCAAATACGCATTTGAGTATGCTCGACAGAATTCGCGAAAAGTTGTCACCGCAGTTCACAAGGGTACGCTCCTCTATTCTCGATCCCTCTTTTCTGTAAATTTCCTGTCATCTTGTGCTTTCAGCCAATATCATGCGCATGTCCGATGGACTATTTTTGCACATTTGCCGAGAACAAGCAGCGCAGTATCCTGACATTAAATTCAAGGTAGGCCGTTCGCGTTATAATCGATGGAAAAAAAGTAGCAGCAGTCTGCACAAACATATAGTTGACCATTTCCATTATGCTTCAACTGTCATTGTTTCATTATTAGTTGTACCTTGTAGGAGTCTTATCTCGACACGGTCTGCTTGAACATGGTGCAAGATCCGAACCAGTACGATGTGCTCGTCATGCCGAATCTTTATGGTGATATCTTGTCCGATTTGTGCGCAGGTTTGGTTGGAGGGCTTGGTGTTACACCATCTGGAAACATCGGCGAAGATGCAGCTGTGTTCGAGTAGGTTTGACTCTTCTTGCAAAGTTTTATAATGCTTGTGACGGCTAGAATAGGTATTTGGGTTTGATCCAAAATCTCCAGGGAAACATGAAATTTTCAGATCAGTTCACGGCACTGCTCCTGATATTGCCGGTCAAGATAAAGCTAATCCTACAGCTTTGTTGCTATCAGCTGTTATGATGCTGCGGTACATGAACATGAACTCGTACGCGCAAAAAATCGAGCGCGCTGTTTTCGATTCCATAGCTGACGGAACAGCAAAGACAGGAGATCTTGGAGGTAACTTTTATTTCGATATTTTTGAACTCAATTATTGGAAGCATGAGTTATGTAGAATGCGCAGAAGTAGGGAGTACCGTTCAATACCCTTGCTAGAAAGGGATTGCTGTTTATCGATGACCAGGCATTATTCTTCTTCTTCATCTTCTCCACGCGTATTCCCGCACTGTCGCACAGTGCAGTGTTTTGTCAGATTTCGTGAAAAAAATCCAATACCCCGTTCATACTTCGCGATCCTATCGCTCAGACCACGGCCGAAGGAGCTTCACAGGCAATCGGTAGACATCCGTATCGGCAATTTGCTTGAAAAACCCTTCGATTTATCGTTGTTTAATTTTCTTTGTGTTTACTTACATTATGTTTACTTACATTGGTCTTCTTAACTATCGGTCTCGAAGGACATATATCTGTCTCGACTTCCTGTGACGCATTCTTGGTGACAGTATTGGGTTGGCCAAGAAATAGCGGCGTTTATTCTAACTTAGAAGTTCGAAGATGAATATTGTACCGTTGAGTTTTGTACAGTCTGACAGAGAATTCCTCACCCTATAAGACGGTCTCGTTAAGTTTTCTGAAGATTCTGTTCCAATTAATTATCAAGTGCCTCAACTGAAGTGCGAAGTCGACAAAACTGAGCATTTTCTACACGGCGTCCTTCTATTTATTTTTTTTTTCGAAAAATGAAGGTGCAGAGGCCTATTTGATAAGTATGTGACCAAGAAGTGCTGTCTGTTAGGAGGGCACAAAGCAGTGTTAACGATTAAAAGTTTCAGACCTCCCAAATGAGCAAACAATGCCTTATTGATTTCGATTGTGAGATCAATGAATCAACTTTTTCGCTTAGGTCCATAGCAAAGAATGTGGATTGGTAGATGTCATGGAATCCCTCATTAGCATCACCTCCACTTTGTGAAGAGTTTCAAAACCAGGTGGATGGACTCTGCAGGCGGGTCATTCCCCATCAAGGCGCCCTATGATGCACACTTACAAGATAAGAGTTCCCGATTCCAGATTCCGTTGAACTGGCTCTCATTTTCGGTGAACTGAAAACTGACAAAGGTTCGAGAAAGAGTAGAAAACCGAGCAGAGTAGGTTGTAGAGAAGGAAATTGTATATCAAAGGATGTCTAGGAAGCTTTTCATCCTCCACACAAATTTTTTACGTAAGAGAAAAACGTCATACTCATGGGCAAACCAAGCAACCAATGCAAAGCGTAATATATCGCTGTTGACGTCGAGTTCTGTATAGCACACAATTTGCACTGGTTTTTATCCTCATCAGCTCTTTACATCAGGCTGCATGAAGATAAACGGGTGAAAGACCTTTTATGTTGAATGTAATCGAGGTAGCCATTGCAGCGGTCCACCGTTCGTTGAAGTTCGACCCTCCCCCCTCGGTCGTCGTCGCGCGATCCAAGCGATCGGCTCTCTAAGTATGAACG